GACTATATTTTTCCTAAGACTAATTAATTCAATTACCCTGTTTGATGTTAATGGTACTCCAGAAACATGACTCTTAAAAATGTATGTAATTTGGGACTTCCCTGGTGGTCCTGTGGTTGAGAATCCACCTTGCAACGCAGAGGATGCAGGTCTGGATGCAGGTTCAATTCCCGGTCAGGGAACTAAGATCCCACATGTCGCAGGGCAACTGAGCCTACACATGGCAACTAGAAAGTCTGTGCAACACAAGTAAAGATCCTGCAAGATGCAGCTAAGACCTGACACAGCCAGGGCTTCCCTGGTGCTCAGTGGTAAGGAATTCACCTGCCAATGCAGGAGACATAGGTTTCGATCCCTGGTCTGGAAAGATAGCACATGCCATGGAGCAACTAAGCTCATGTTTCATAACTACTGGGGCTGTCGTTTAGGACCTGGGAACTACTAAAGCCTGTGCACCAGTGTCTCCTGCTTGGAAGGCAGATTCTTGACCATTGAACCACTTGGGAAGCCTGCATGAGGTTTAGGGGAGTGGTTTAAATGTAACTGTGTAGACTGGTGAGTGTCTTGCTTTTTCATGTAAAATGTCTTAAGAGTTTTCTAAAGAAGTATATCTGTATCTACTTCATCCTTCTTTCACGACTGTCTAATATTCTACCAGGAGGGTATACTATAATTTATTCCAATGATGAGCACAACATGCTTTCACCTTTCTTCATGTATTTCCCTTTCTTCAAGGAAAAATCATGTAATATTCTCTATGAACCTATGATATTATTTCTGTATTATAGATACACAGAAATGAAACTTTTGGTTTAGAAGTATACACTTTCAAAATTGATAGATACAGTTAAACTTTTACCCTAAAAAGATAAAACTGTTCATACTCTGTTCAACAGTTTGAGTGGCTACTTTCCAATTTGATACTTATGTAAGGTTTTCCAATTTTGCCAATTAGCAAAGATTTAAAAATATCTTATTTCATTGATGTTTTGAATTTCTATTATTGGTGTGTTTGAGTATCTCTTCAAAACTCTATAGGCTATATTTCTACTTCTATGAATTTCCTACTTACATCCTTTCTCATTTTCTACCAAGTTGATTTGTAGGCACACCTTGTATATCCTGAATATTAACTTTGTCTATTACATGTCAAATACTTTTAGCCCAGGCCACCACTGCTTGTCTTTTTTAATGCCATTTAAGTTTGACATCTCATTTGAAATGGCTTTCACTGCCCTGAAATTTTTTAAAAATTCATTTCTTCCAAAATTTTTGCCATTTTATTTTTTACTTACTGAATGTATTTAGTCCAACTGGAACTTAGTTTCGAGAGTGCCACAAAGTGAGTACTTAATTATCTTTACCTCAACAGGATAGCCAATTGTCTGACATCATTTATAGACTAGCTCTTCCATTACTCACTTGTTTATCAAATAATAAATTCTTCTGTAACCATGGAGCTCCTCCTGAATTCCTTATTCTATTCCTTCGATCAACATGCTCATTCCTACCCCAAACTCTTATTAATAATTGTAATTTTACAGTATGTTTTTTATCTCTGATGGGTAAATTCCCTTTTGTCATGCTTCATATTGAAACTTATCTGTCCATTCTGGTGCACTTTCCTTCTCAAAACCTGAAACATCAGTTGGTCAAATCCCGTTTTAAAAATTCTGTTGGATTTCTAATTAGGATTACACTGTCTTTACTGATTAATTTGGCAATTAAGTTCTCACATTCAGGAATATACTATTCTTCTATCAGTTTAAGATCTTCTTGTACTTTTTTTCTTCAGATGGTGCAACATATTTGTAAAAATTTCTTAAGGATTTTATAATTTAGGCTTCTACTTTTGTTACTGTTTTTCACAGTTGGTTATTGCTGGTTTATAAGAAAGCTAATGAATCTTCTAAGTTTATCTGATAGCCACTTGGTATGCTGAAATCTCTTTTTGATTCAAATCATTTTCTGTTGCCTGTCTTATATTTTCTAAGTAGATAATCATACCAACTGCAAATAGTAACTATAATATATTCCACCTCACTCTTCTTCCCCATTATTTAGAGGTTATTTTTCTTGTTTCTTAATGTACTAGCTAAGACTTTGACCAATGTTCCTTTCTTTTAATGAAAGTACTTCTAATAGTTCACTATGACATTTAATACAGGTTTCTGGTAGAGTCTCTTTACAAGGTTATTTTTGGTTGATAAGAAGTTGTCTGGGATAACTGAATTTTAGAAGATGATTTTTTTTTTTTTAGCACCAAAGGGAGAAACATACACTTTTCCCCACTAACCTATTAATATAGTGAATTACATTAATATATTTCCTAATACTGAATCAATATTACACTCCTGGAATTCTATGTTATCAGAACTGGTATGATTCAAAGCTAGGCTCTGGAGTCAGATGCCTGGGTTCAAATCCCAAATCTTTCACTAACTAGTTATATGATTTTAAGCAAGTTATTTAACTTCTTTGTGTTTCAGTTTCTTCATTTTAAAAATGACAATAATATCTACCTCAAAGAGTTATTTTAAGGATTAAGTAAACTAATACATAAATAATTATTACCATTTACCGAGTGCTTTACCTCTGCCTGCCAAAAGGTATGCAGCATCACAGGGGTCAGCAAACTAAGACCTGTGCACTGAATCCGGCCTCCTGCTGGCTTTTATTGGAATGCAGTTATACCCAATGCTTATAATTTATCTATGGCTATTTTTAAGGCTCCCAAACCACAGTTAAGTAGTTGCAACAGAGTTCATATTGCCACAAAGCCTAAAATACTTGCTATCTGCTCCTTTACAGAAAAAAACAAAACTGCCAACCTGTGAAGTACTCTTCAAACTCACGGAGTTCAGTCTAACAGATGAGACAGGCAAGTTAAAAAAAAAAAAAAAAAAAATATATATATATATATATATGCTACAGTATGTTACGTACACATTCATGATATTCTGAGCATACTGTGGAAACATATGGCAGTTCAGTACTAAAATACAGAAAGGATTCACACAAGAGAAGAGAGATAAGAGAAGTGGTATTTTATTTACTTTTCATTTTAAAATATTTTTATATGTCTTTTTCTCTTATCCAAATGTGTGAATTGCTACACGAAAGGAATACAATGTTGACTTCTGAGACATTCATATTCTAAGTATCCAGAACATTTAAGTTTTTAACAAATGATAGATACATAAGTGAATGGTGAAAACAAGAATTTGGATACCCTAACAAGGATTAGAAATGCCTATCAAAGGTCTAGATATAAGTATCCCACGACAAGTATTTTACTTGCCATGCTAAATAGGTTCTTTCTTTTAATCCCCATAACAGCTAATTCTAGGAGACAGATCCCTGTATTACCCCTCTTTAAAGTGAAGAAACTAAGGTAAAGTAATACGTTCATGTTCCTAACGGCCAGTAAGGGAAGAAGTCAACAAACAAACCTATACTTGCCTAACGTAAAATATATCCTGTTTATAACACAAAGGTGGCAACTGGTGGGAAATACAGTCAAAGAATTTGTTTAGTTGCTAAGTCATGTCCAACTCTTTGAGACCTCAAGACTGTAACTGGCCAGGCTCCTCTGTTCATGGGATTTCCCAGTCAAGAATACTAGAGTGGGTATCCATTTTCTTCTCCAGGAGATCTTCCCAACCCAGGCACCAAACCTGCATCTCCCACATTGCAGGCAGATTCTTTATCACTGAGCCACCCAGGACGCCCAGTCACAGGATACCATCAGAGCACAAACTCTTAAGATAAAGACAGAATACATTATAATTGATGCAGCAGGAACTGTAGTGTAGTTTAATTTCTAAAACTGAGCAATGATTTGAATAAATCTGTATTTTTGAAGGAACAGTCTGGAAGCAGCCTGAAGATGAACTAGAGGGACAGCTGCCCACACATTTTACCCAAAGTCTACTCTATCACACACATTAGACCAGTTTTGGTCAGGTTCAAGCAATTGATAAAAAAAATATAATTGCTAGCATACTATGGCATTTGAGGAATAATGAAGTACTGGAAAGAGCTAGTCCTAATACAGAAGAAACAAAAATATATTTCATAAACTACTAACTAAAATGTAAGGGAAAATACATATTGCAAATGAAAATATTACATAGAAAAAAATCAAGTCTAAGAATGAAACTGTGATTGAGAACAGCTGTCACAAAAAAGACTCACAGACCTAAGAGAATGAATTTATGGTTACCGAGGGGAAGGGTAGGAGGGAGAGATACAATGGAAGTTTGGGATTGACATGTATACACTGCTATATATAAAACAGATAACCACCAAGGACCTACTGTACAGCAAGGGAACACTGCTCCATACTCTGGAACAACCTAAATGAGAAAAGAATTTGAAAAAGAATAGATACATGCATAACTGATCTCTCTGCTGTACACCCAAAACTAACACGGCATTGTCAATCAATTATACTCTTAAAAAAAAAAAAAAAAAACTGTGGAAAACAAAAAAGAATGGCTATCACAAGCCAACCAAAAAATTTAGAGAATGAAAACATAATAAAGTCACAAATTAAAATTACATCTTCACTTTTATTTTTACTTAAGCCAATCTTAAGACAAATGGATTTTGAAGTAAATGAAATCACTACTCCCTTCAAGCTAGATTTCAACAAAAGTACACAGTTGTATTTGACATCTATTCCTGCGAGAAAGCATATAATTACTTTTTAAAGAAAAGTCTTAACTGTGCTTTAAAATGTACTTAAACATCTGTTTAGAACTGCCAGAGAAGTAGGCAGATTTTTTTTCCCTCCTCACTAGGGAATTGGATTTCACTAAGAAATCACTTAAATTGTTTAAATTATTCTGTTCAAATATATGCTAAAATGTGGATTCTGAAAAAGGAAAGCAGAACACAGTAACTTTCAGACATTTTCGATAGAAGTTGATTAACAATCTATCAAATTTAGAGATCTTTTACACCAAGGTTTATTTCAAAGCACATATCATACTTACTTTGTATTTCTAATAACTAGCACATAAGCAATCTCAAGAAGTGAGGCAGGAAGAGATGGAAGTCAATCAGAATAGTTTCATCTGTAAAATTAGAGTACCACCACATATCTGGCAGTCTATATAGGATTTAAAAAAATATAATCAACTTTCCAGTCAGAGTTCAAGTGGATCTTATTACTATACATACAGAAATAGTCATCTACTTGAAAAAAAAAAAACACACATAAGGAATTCACTTTTGCATATTTCTATCCCATTGTGGAAAGACTAGCTGAATTTCCTTGGAATAGATCAGTATTCTCTTGCAAAGAGGAACACAGGCGTTGGATAGGAACAATGAAAGATTAATAAGAATGGAAAGAAAGCTTTTAAAATGTGCACTCTCTTTGCCAAGAAGGCAGTTAAAAGTTTTGAGTAAACTAAATGCTTACTGGAATACTATTATTTACAGAACTTTGGAGAATAAAGCTTGAACTCATGATTTCTGGTCTTACTAAAAAAAGGCTGCATTGCTTCCAATGTAGTAGTATTAATGTAAAAACACATGGTACATTAATACCATCATGGTTTCCAACGTCTCTTTGCGTGCTCACATTATTTCTGTGGGGAAAACAGGATATATATTACTCTTTTTAAGAACTGGGAACTCAAGACTGAAAAAAAAAACAAAACCCTAATCTGAAATCATATGGCTAATAAGGGTAAAGTTGGAACTAAGATCCAAAGTACTTTATCTCCTATCTAGCAAACGGAAACAGCTGGAATAATGAAGCTGTTTCAAATACTGACAAAAGTGGGGTGGCAAAGTGAATTGTTAATTCCTCCTTAAAGCAAAATTTAAAAAGCTGAACTTTTATTATATAGCAATTCATGAAGGCTTGAAATTTAGTTCAAAAGGTCTATAATGCTTTAAAACTGAAAACAGTACACACATACACAAAGCATGGAAAATGGCATGCTTTTTTTAAAAGGGCAAAAGTTAACTTCAGTTTGGGGGTTTTGTTGGTTTGTCTGCTTTTAATGTCTTTAAGAGGAAAAAAAGAAACTCCACTGATTTTACCCAGACAGCTCTCCATCTCATATATCTTTACTTTTCCCAGCACCTAATGCTATCTCTGACATACAGAATGTATTCACTAATACCTACTGATTCAAAGAAACCTCTCATGCTATATTCTTACTTTCTTGATAAGACAAAATACAGAGTAACCGTAGCCAATTTTATTCATGCAACCATAACCTGAAGCACCACTATTTATCTGGTAATGGTACATGAAACACAATGTGCTGAAGGAAACAGAACTGCCTTAGAAACACACATCTATAAATTTAGAAACTTCAAAGGAGATATTTCATGTAGAGGAATTTTCAAAATAACTGATACTTACCCTTTAAATCACTATAACATCTTTAAACAATCATAATGAAAATATTTTAAAAGAGACTTCTAGGTCTTTTTTCTCTGCCTCAATCTACATGTGATATAATCTTTTCTTGATGACTCAAGCTCATCAATGTAAATGTCAATTATTAGACTATTCTGTAACACAGTGACTCTTGGAGTTACTGAAGGATGTTGCAACTGTTCTTCTCTTCACTAACTCATCCTGAACTACTTTAACAATGTTTCCTGCTGCCTGCTCCCCATTTGTCACTTACAGGCCACCAGCATCCTAGCCAAGGCTTCTAAAATGCCAGTTGTAGTTTAAAATATGTACAACCTGAATAGGCAGTTGATATACTTAACCATATACAGATTCTAAATCAAGCCCTGGAGTAGCTATTTTCACTGCTCTAAGGACTAGCTCAAAGGCTTTTCTTCTTTCACTTCCTAGTTCTGAGACCCAGTCTAGGCAGTTGCTGGAAGTCTGGTCACAAAATAGCAATTACAGTAGAAGTTATTTCTGCATGTTCTCTTTATTTTTATTATAACATATGGAAAAACATAAATGATACTCAAAACACACAAAACAACCATGCAGACAAATGATGTAAGGCAGCTCACATTATGTGCTATATGGACAATTAACTAGCCAATTATTAGCCAACAGTCAGCAAAGTAGGCCCGCTGGTCAAATTCTGCGATTGGAAGAAAACAAATAAAAAAGGATATTCAACAGAAACTATAAGTGGCCCACAAGGCCTAAAGTATCAGCTATCTGGCACTCTACAGAAAGTCCGCTGATCCCTGATCTAAGCTGTAATAAACACACACATATAAAATATATAAGCTATTCCTCAAACATAAAGCTTAAGTTATTAATATGTCAAAGTAGATGCAGCATTCTTCCAGTGATGGCTTCACAATGATACAGCCAAACTGTCCTGTCCAGCCCTGCCTATCCTTCTTGACCATGTCATGGCACTTAGCGAAAATCTTGACTTTAACCTTCTATTCTTCTTCCTCCTGATACTTACCCTCTCAGGCTGGTCTCCTTGAATGTCTTTCCTTTTGCTTGATCCTGAAATCCTTCCTAAGATTCAAGTCTGACTTCTTCTGAATGCCTTCCAGGATCATTCCTGCCCTCCGTAGCCTCATTTTCCTTTAAATTCCAGTCCTTGCCACATAATTTAATAAGGCCATCTTGTATTTTTTGTTAAGGATTTCTTGTGTTTTAGTCTAGTATCCCCAACTAGTCTGTAAACTACTTGAAGGAAGGAAACACATCCCATTGCTTTTGTATACCCACTCTAATAGCTCACCATCCTCTGAGCATGTCATCTTCCCAGAGATGACACATGCAACTCTATCTTGAGGAAGAAAAGCCTGAGGCCTGGCAATGGGTAATAAGTGATTGGAAATATCAAAGGAAGACACCTACAAAGGAACCTGATGTAAAACCATAGGTTACACCACAAACTTATAAAGTAGTATGTGAAAGGTAAGCAAAACTACCACAGTGGGAGGATGGAGATAAGATCAAGGGATAAAGAGGCCACGGCATAACACTCTGAAATAAAATGAGGCCAAAATATTAAGAAAATAGTAAAAGCTCCCAATACAGGTTAAAAAAAAATTGTCTTTCACCATTATTGGTCATTCATTTCTTTTAAGCAAGCAGCTCTCAACACTGATATCCCCAGGGGCCATTTTTCTTTTTCTTTTTGCAATGTGATAAACAGAAGCACTGAAAAAGACTCAGTGGAATTGCAGGCAGAGCATTCTAAACCTTTGGATTTACAATATTGTGAATTTATCTGAAATCTGCTAGAGACTGCTCGGGGGAATAAAGCAATCATTTATCTTTTGATCACCTGGCTAATAAAATTGGAAATCATATGCAAAGCCCTACATCATTCTCAAAGACATCATCTAGACTCATTTCATAGAAAAATACACCAAGAACATTTTTTAAAAAAACAAAACCTTTAGGTTACCTCATCAAACTGTATTTTAAAAATACAGGCAAAATAGAAGATGCACAAGCCTTGGGTATATACACATTAAAATATACAAGTATTTTTTAAACAGACATAACTATTACCCATAAATCTAAACTAAAATTATAAATTAAATGCTCTTTACCTAAGAAAAGCTACAAAAGATGATGAAAATAGTAATCATGCATCCCTATTCTTTTCTGGGTTTTGTAGCCTCTCAATCCTGACCTTTGCCTGGCTGGTCAGAGAAGAGGAAGAAATTTTTTATTAATCAGTAATAAAATATGCTCAATATTATACCATAGAACTTAAAAATTTAAAACATAATTATTAAATGCAGGAGAAAATAAATCAGCTTTCAGTTACTCATATAAAGGGGGAAAGTGATGACACAGACGACATCAAAAGGTAAACCTAAATCTGTTTTTTTGAATGCATATCATTAATTTGGGAGAAGTAAATTACCCCTATGTTTGATTGAAACCAATGTTAACCAGCAGTTAATTTTTCCTAAACAGTCAATGATTTTTGAGGGTTCAGACAAAATGGAAAAAGAGGGAGTTCATTCAGAAGCATACAGGTGGTTAAAAGCAGCCAGCCTGGGATAAAAAAAATTTCAGTTAACCTACCCAGGAAAACTGAGACATGTTCTCTGAAAGGAAAAAAGAAAATTTCATAAAATTTACTGTGATAGTGCTAAAATTCTGAAACAAAATTATTTATAAAAATTTTAACAAATATTTTCTTTCCTGTCAAGTCAGTATCCTCTGTTCCCACTAACTGGTATAAGTGGTGATGGCAAGAATTATCAGTGCGTTAAGAAGCTGAAAGCAAAATTTTAGGCACTACATTATAGAAGATGTGTTACAACAAATCCTTTTTATCACTGTTTTAAGTCCACCATCTGTCTCAGTGTGCACTTTTATCTCATTACTTAAGTAAAATCAAATCAACCGAGAAAATATCAAAAAGGCAGGAGACTCATTTCTCTGGACTATTTTCAGGTGATTTAAAAGCCTACACGATGGCAAGAACTACAGATTTAGCAAATACACAAAAACTAAATATTTATCCAAATACAAGATCATAGCCATAAGACTCAATTAGTTTCTGTCTAACATATGGCTCCAACTCCTGGGTGGCATATGTTTAGCACTAGTGCTGGTACTATCATGGTGATAAAATATTATAGTAACAGTTCAACTTTTCATTCTTACAGTACAGAAAAATACCAATTTTGCTTTCAAGAACTAAAAACACGGAAAGAAGCAAAATCGTTTTGCCGCTCAATTTTGAGTCCACAAATCTACATGCACATGAGCTTTACAGAGTCAAAAAAAAAAAAAAAAATTTGTCAGCCTGGTATTCTTAGTTAATAGATGCTCAGACACAAAGGTATCCAAAGGAACTTACATGAAATTTCACAAAAGAAAATCCCTAATTTACGATTCCTAGCACCCCCACTATCCATTAACCACCCCTTTTCCCCACACAAAAATATCCCACGGGTTTTTTTTTTTTTTAACGCTAACAATTTAATAAAAGAACGACTAACACTAATTAAAATAGCCGCTTTTCTGCCCGCGATTTTACGGCTAAATTATGAGTTCATTTTCCTTTACCTAACACATGACGTCCTTCCACCGCCGTGTCAAAAGTTCAAAGATCCAGGTTGTTAAACAGGGCGAGGACTGCAGCCTGGAGTCCAACCCCCCGCGACTGAACAGGTGGTTAACTCAGCCGGCTGAAGGAACGGCCAGGTACCGGCACCAGCCAAACAAGATCCAACACACCGGGGCGGGTTTTCGAGGTTTGAACCCCAACAGGCGCGGGAGGAAAGTCTCTTCAGAGGGGCGTTCAAGTTCGGCGGACCCCGGGCGACTGCGGACGCTCGGCGATCCTCTCCGGGAGGGCTCCGGCACTCGACCCCCGCGCCGCCAGGAGCGGCGCTGCTCGCCGCGGGCCGCTGGCCAGGGGGGGGCGGAGGGCGGACCGCCCGCGCCCCCGCGCCGCCTCCGCGGGCTGGTGGCGGGGCCGTGGCCGCGCCCCCGCGAGCGCCTCCCGGAGAGACTCGGGCCCGGCAGGTGCCCGACAAGCGGATGCGTCCCGCCCGCGGCCCACTCCCCGCCCTCGCAGAGCGCGCGCCCCCTGGACGGGCTGGGCCGCGCCCCTCGACGGGCCCGAACCCCCGCTCGGCGCCCTGGCCCTTCACACTCAGCCTAACGGTTTCCGTGACGCCTGCCCCGGGGCGCCACGGGACCGGGACGCCTCAGTCTCGCCCGCCTTTCCCGAAGGGAGCGCCCGCGCTCTCACCTCCGAGTCACGCCGCTCTGAGGCGGAGGAAGGCGGCTACCCCGGCGCCTCTTCTTCGGGTTCCTGATCGTCCTCGCTCCACCTCAGCGGCAGAGCCAGCTCTCGGGGCCGCCGCAGCCGCCGGCGCACTGACTGTTGGGGTGGTTTCCCGGCAGTGACGGCGCTGCCTCAGCCCCGCTCCTCGCTCCCTCTCCGCGTAGCTCCCGCTTTCTGTTTCACCCGAGGGACCGCGAACGCCGCCGCCGCCATGCTTACTACGGAGCCGGGAGGAGGAGCCCGGAGTCGGCTCGCAGAGTGCGGCTGCGCGAGCCCCGCCGACGGCGCCCCCGGCCGGCCCGGACCCCGCGTCCCCGCCCCGCGCCAGCCGCCCCGCGGGTCTTTCCCCGGAGCGCCGGGCGGCCGAGTAACCCCACCTCGCCGCAACCCGGGACGCCCACCGCCCTCCCGGGCTCCGGGCTCTCTTCCGAGGCCCGCCTGCGCCCGAGTCGTCGTAGCCGCCGCGGCGGCCGGGCTGCTGGCGACACTAGGGACATGAGTTAATAATGGACGTTCCTGGGACCACTCACACAATTCTCAGTCCAAACTCTAAAAGACTCCCTGTGAGGCGCACCGGGTCTGTCTCTTTCCGAAAGCACAAAACTTAATGCCGGCAGGTGCTTTTAAAGACACTCCCCCAAGGAATAGGAAGCCAACCGAAGTGGGCTTGGATGTTTTCAATTCCAAACGCTTTAGCGCCCGGGATCTCCTCAGCAAGCAAAAATACTTAGATATTTACTGCAGTTGAAAATGTGGGGGTTAGTTTTTTAGCCTCTTCCTCAGTCAAATCGCATGGAATCCCATTACCTTAATTTGTTCAACAGCCCGAAGACCTGGAAGGGAACGCAGCCGAGATTTCCCTGAACCTCCAGCGACTGGGGGCGCTGCAATAATGCCTGAGGGCTGCCCTGGGCTGCTTCCTTTTGCGGGTTCTACTAGAAGACTTGGAATGGGGGTAGTCCTTGGGACGGGGAGTCTAACCGAGGAACTCTCCCTTCAGAAACAATGGTGATGTAACCAGGCTTCTTTGTCTGGCTTTATTTCGGTTATTGTGCTGCCTTTCAAAAATAGCAGTGCTTTTTTCCTCCACCTTTTAACAGGAATCCTTTGAAAATGTATTTATTCCCTGCCTTCTTAAGGAATACAGTGGTTAATGAAATCCTTTGTTGATGACTGGCCATCAGATGCCATAGCTTGGCCATAACCTAAAATCCCAAAAGATTGCTGAGGTATATAGGGTCTCTACTTAGGTGATCTCTTTTTTTTCTCTTTGAAATGTTCTCACCACCTTTTCTAATATCTGTTACTGCTTCTCCTCTTATCTGCCTCTTGAACCACTCAGATCCTTCCTCTCATCCTTTCTGCTTTACTGTTTATTTTTTACTCTTTTCTCCTTTCTTGTGTGCTTTATCTCTATGGCTCCAGGTAATGATTGATGAGGTGTTTATATCCACAATCAGCCAATGAGAGATTTGTTTTCTTCCTCTTTTTCCCATCAGTAAATAGGACAGTAACTCTATATCAAGTAGTATCTTGAGATATTTTCATTGTTGTTCACTCTCAAAAGTTCTTTTCCTGCAAGAGAGAGAGAGAGGTGTTTCCTTTTCTTAACTTCCAGATTTGGCCCTCTTCCAGACAATTGCTGGAAAGCTGATCTCTGAATAACTGAAGGATAACTGTATGTTTTAAAATAGGAGGATTTATCAGAGTGTGGGCGAGTTGGGTGGCTTCTCCATATTGCTTCCCTAGCTCTATTTGGTCTGAGACTACACTAGTGGTTTCCAAACCCAACTCTAAGTAAAGCTTCCTATTCAGGAGCTTTTTAAAAAAACAGAATCTTGTAATCTATCCCTCAATATTTAATTCCTTTGGCATTGGGGTGGGGGTGAGGGGAAAAAATGTCATTTTAAAAAGCTATATTATTAAAAATTATATTTGGGGCATACCTACATGTATAGGCACACCAGGAAAGAACAGCTATTTTGGAGGGGACTAAGACATAATTCAGAATACCATCGAAGTAGACATAGATTAGTCAACAGTATGTGATGCTGTAAGGTTGAGTCACGTGAGGACTGGGGAATTTATGTTCTGTGGAGAGAATGAATCACACACATAAATAACCCTAGCATGGCCACCAGTATGAATCCTTTGGGAATCCAGAGAGGGACACGGATTTACACTGACTTTGAACAAGTCACTTCTCAGTGCTTCATTTTGCTTATCGATAAAGTTATTTAAAATCCTCATTTTTCTTGAGCTCTGAGTAATATCCAACACTTATTTCCTTGAATAGTTCTTCCTTTGGCACTATATTCTCTTGGCTTTTCCCACTACCTTTCAGGCTATTGTTTCTCTAATTCCCTCACAGATTTCTTCTCCTCTCCCTAACTGTTAAATATAGGAGTACCTCACAATTTAGTCTGAGTTCTTTTCTGTTTTGATTATAATCTCTTGGTCTGAACATCATCACCGACACCAGTTACTTTAGTTATCATCAGAAGTTGATGATTACCATGTATGTGTCTATATCCCTGACCCTTATCCTAAATTCCAAATCAACTGCTTCATTAACTTATTCACTTAAAGTCTCAAAGTTACAAAGTTTAGACCAACTTAGTTGATAAACTCTTCTTGTTTTCCTTTCTCCTCATGTGTGTGTGTGTGTGTGTGTGTGCGTGCGCACATTTTAGTTGCTCAGTTGTGTCGGACTCTTTATGACCCCATGGTCTGTAGCCTGCTAGGCTCCTCTGTCCATGGGATTCTCCAGGCAAGAATACTGGAGTGGGTAGCCATTCCGTTCTCAAGGGATCTTCCCGACACAGGAATTGAACCCAGATCTCCCACATTGCGGGCAGATTGTTTATCATCTGAGCTATCAGGGAAGCCCTATCCTCATCTATCCAGTTGTTCAAATCAAACAGGCAGTAGTCGCCCCCTGATATCTCCAGTAGATTCACTGCAACACCAAGTTCTGGCAATTTTCTCTCCAAAATCTCTCAAATTGGCCTACATCTTTCCGGTTGTCACCAATCTAATCTGGTCTCACTGTATATGATCTGAGCCCTTCCATCAATTCTCCACTTTGCAGCTAAAACAGTTTTTTCTAAAAGCAAGTAAGACTATTCTTCTTTTCACATAAAACACTTAAACAGCATCTCCCTGCTCTAAGATAAGACTAGCATTCTTAAGGTGGCCTAACAGGGCATGTGAGGTCTTGCCTTTTCTAGTCTGATCTGACACCACTCTCCCCTGGTTTCCTGTGTGGAAGACTTCCCCACCACCTTTTATATTCTCAAACATGCTGCAGTCCCAACAGCACAGGCTCTCTGCACATGACCCTCTTCTCCCTTTTAACTTGAGTAAGGAAAAAACATTTCTAACTTCCCAGACAAGTTCAAGGCCCCTTGTTGATGAAGCCCTTCTACAACTAATGCACCTTTTCCTCTATGACTTACCTCAGTTTGTAGCATTTGGTTGGAGAAGGAAATGGCAACCCACTCCAGTATTCTTGCTGGGAAAGTTTCATGGACAGACGAGCCTGACAGGTTACAGTCCATGGGATTGCAAAGAGTCAGACGCGACTGAGCACACACATGTAGCATTTGGTATGCGTACATACTGCATATGTGTCTATTGTTCCCTTCAAGAGGAGAAGGACTGAACCTATTTTTGCTTACATAGTGCCTGACATTTAATAGCTGCCCAATAAATATTTCTTAAATGAATGTCCTCTGAGGTTCCTTTTGGCATTCTGGAAAGTTGTTGAGTCATGCAATTAGGAGATCAGAGAGAGGAAACTTCTGTATGATTAGTAGAAAGAGATATGGTATACATTGGCAGATGATTCTTCACGGAGCTGTCATATTTCAGTACATCTAGTAAGCAGAGACACCAACAGTTTTGCTCTAGACTATCTTTTCCAGATGTTTGTATATCAGAAGGTTGAGATCGTGTTTCCCACTGGAGCAGGAGGCACACCTTGTTTACCATCCAGTATGATAACTTCTCCTTCTGTAGTGAAGGTTGAATGAGTTTACCTGTTCAGTTCAGTTGCTCAGTCATGTCTGACTCTTTGCAGTCCCATGGACTGCAGCACGACAGGCCTCCCTGTCCATCACCAACTCCCAGAGCTTGTTTAAATTCATGTCCATTGAGTCAGTCATACCATCCAACCATCTCATCCTCTGTTGTCCCCTTCTCCTCCCGCCTTCAATCTTTCCCAGCAGCAGGGTCTTTTCCAGTGAGTTAGTTCTTTGCATTAAGTGGCCAAGGTATTGGAGCTTCAGCTTCAGCATCAGTCCTTCCAATGAGTATTCAGGACTGATTTCCTTTACGAATTGACTCGTTTGATCTCCTTCTAGTCAAGAGTCTTCTCCAACACCACAGTTCAAAAGCATCAATTCTTTGGCACTCAGTTTTCTTTATTGTCCAACTCTCACATCCATACATGACTACTGGAAAAACCATAGCTTTGACTAGACGGACCTTTGTCAGCAAAGTGTTGTCTTTGCTTTTTG